AACATCTGATCTGGGCCACCTGACCCACAACAGCACATGAAATAAATTATCAAATGAGTGAGCAAACGAAAGAATGGGCTCTCCAAATGAGATGTTCTTTTTGCTCTGAAGCCTAAAAGGATGTTTGACCTCTAATTCTTCCCGAGCATTAAAGAAGACCTTACTTTAGATTGCACCGTGGGCAGTGATGAGTGTATCTTTTTCACCCACGGGTGTGATAGTCAACTGGTCACAGACCTTGACAAACGTCATGATCGTCCACTGGACTAAAGTTTAAAATGGTCTGTGGGGGCAGAGCTGCAAGGCAGGCTTGTGACTGTGAATGACATGCAATTGTGGTTTGCACGGTTCTTCCTACCCCCTCACCGCCCCCACTCCAGCCTGCGGTCCTGAAGGGGTTCAGAGAGGAAGGCAGCTGTTGTGGCTGCTTGTCACATGGAAGGAAAAGATGAAGTTGGAGTGCGGTGGTCAGGGAGTGACCTTCTACCTGTTTTCTAGTGGAAGGGTGACCACCTTGTACGTGGGAGGCCTCGCCACTGACAGCCGGTTGTCATTTTGATCTTCACTGAATGAATCGTCCTCCTATGTTCCAGTACTAATTGGAAGTAACATTTCATGGAGTGGTGGTGTGGGGACAGATTTTAGAGAAATAAACAAATATCCTCTCTCTCCCACCATCACCTTGGGGAAAAAGAAAAACTGAAAAAGACATTTATTAAGTAGGGTGAAAGTTGGACTGTTTTAAGGGTCAGAAAAGACGGGATTTCCCCATGTGTAGAAGCCACTGGGGTTTTTACTGCAATTACAAGAGGGGCCTAAACTTTCTTCTTGACATTTCTTGGCTGGTGTGCAGAATCTGTGGCCTTTCCCAAGGCCAGGGCAAGAAGGGCTGCATTTCACAGCAGATGCCTTGGGTGGCTAGTCCGTAGCTGGTGCTGGGAGTCTTTGAGCTCTGTTGTAGACACACAGCAGGGCTGCGGGGTTTCTAAACTAGAGCAGTAGCCGTCGTAGTTATTGAGAAAAGGTTTTTTAGCAGCAGTGAAGCCTAGTGGGATGAGTATAAGGTGGGGGGTAGGAGGCAGACCGACCTGGACTTGTCACCTGGGCCCTGTCACTAGTGACCTTGTAGCCCTCAATAATACCCTCGCCTCTTGGTGTCAGTTTCCCCATCTGTAAAATGGGGAGACTAATTACAGCATGGGAGGTATGACTGGGAGGTATGAATTAAACCTGGTATCCCAAGTGCCCGGCACGGTGGCACTTAGAAGATCCTCCATCAGTCTGAAGACCGCAGGTGGCTGGGGCTCTATCTCATGCCCCCAGGAACCACGGTAGGTTAGATGTGCCTGCAAAAGGAGAAAGTCCACTCAGCTTTTATTCTAAAGACTTCTGCCTAGAATCGAATCAAATAGATCATGCTGAACAAAGAACCCAAGTAGGAGTTGATGACGGTGGTTTGGGGGAAATGTCCCCCAGACAGGCAGGTGCCAGCTTCAGGTCCCAGCTCACACATCTCTCCCAGGACAAATGACTTCCCAAGGGGTCTTCATGTGCAAATGAGGGGATTAAATGAGACCAGTGGTTTCCAAACTGCATTCTGAAGAAACCAAGTATCCCCCCAGGTGCCTCAGGGTTGGGCAATATTTGCCTTAAGATTTCTTTACAAAAATATCTTAAACGATTAGTCCAGGCTTTGGCGCCAGGCCAACACGGCTCAAATCTCCGCCCTAGCATGTACTTGCCATGTGACTTTGGGCGGGTTACTGGATCTTTGTAAGGCTCTGCTTCCTCTTCTGTAAACTTGGAATAATAAGAGTATCTACTGAATAGGGTTGTCAAGAAAATAGAGAAGTTTACACCTGTTAAGTACTTAGAGTCTGATACACATCAGCACTCAACGGATGTTGGCTATCACTTTGCCAGCCTCTGAACCCACCAATCTATTAATTTTTATGCCAGGTAAACTAGTGTCTGTGCTGGATTCTTTGGGCTTCGAATAAAATACAAATGCTTCACCATGGTCTACAACAGAGGCTGGTGAACTTTTTCTATCGAGCACCAAGTAGTAAATATTTTAGGCTTTGTGGGCCATACACCGCCCACTGCTAGCCTCTGCCCTTGTAGGCTGGAAGCAGCCTTGCACAATATGTAAGTGAATGAGCATGGCTGTGTACCAATAAAACTTTATTGATAGGCCCTGGAATTTGGATTTTACATAATTACCATGTGCCGTGAAATAGCGTTCCTCTTTTGGTGTTCTTTAACCATTTGAAATTGTAAACACATTCTTAGCTTGTGGGCCATTTAAACACAGGCTGTGGGCCAGATTCTGCTTCTAGGCTGGTATTTCACGAAGCCATGGGGTACAGGGACCCATGTCTAGGTCCACCTACCTCTCCAACCTTGTTTCTCCCCACTTTCCGCCGTGCTTACTAAGCTTTAGCTCCCTGACCCCTGGTGTTCTAACCCAGCGAACTCCTTATCACTGGGGGACATCTGCATTCCTTGTCTTCCTGAAACCTCATTTAGCTCTGCACCATGCCCAGCTTCTGTTCAGCCTTGGCTGGTGGCTTCCTTGTCAGCTGCTCAGGGACACTGCACACGACCTTGTGTAAAGTACGCCCTGCCCCACATCCCTCCCAGAGTTACGATTGGATAACCCAGTTTTCTTCCTAGACAACATTGATCAACCTCTGTAATTATCTTGTTTATGTATTCAGTGTCTCTCTCTTTCTCCTCCATAAGGGGGTGGCGGGGGGGACCTTGCTTTAATTACCACTGCAGCACCAGCTTGCCAGCCTGCCAGGAACATCGTGTTCAGTCAGTATTGTAGAATGATGAATGAATCCACGCCCTCCGTGTCTTTGTTTCTTTCTTT